TCTCTCACAGTTGAAGTGTACCTCTGGTGCAAATTACTGACCTCTGTCATCATTTTAGGTGGGGGAACTTGCACAATCGGTGGCTGACTAAATACTGTTTTGCCCCACTGTAAGTTCAAATGATGTAAAGTTCATTATCAGAGGGTGAACATGAGGCTCTGCCCAAACTGATTTCCACATGACCTCTGAATTGGAACAATGCAGGCTTGTTTATGCAGACACTACTGTATGGTTACCCACTACCTGTGATTCTTTGAATCAGGCTACCAAATGGTGTAACTTAAACAACTTCTCATCCATGGTTTCTACAGCTGTCCATGTTCCTTTATCTGAAAGCCTGTGTAGCGTTCAGTTACACCAACACAGTGACTTCAGTATCAAAATTCAAATACAGTTAGAACAGAAAAAGCCAGAAAAGTACAGTCCACATTAACATTAAAACAGTAATCCATTACTTTACGTATTTACTCCCTGAAAAACTTTAGCTGCACTTCTCTTTGCACTTTTGCTTTAATCACCCAAGATACATTAAGACAGAGTTAACCAGAGCGTTAACATGCACATCACTGCATATCCACACTAATGACTGTGCTAAGGAGGGGACATATGTTGGCACTTTACTGTCACATTCTTGCCCGTTCATGGAACAGGTTCATACTAAATATCTCCTCCCATCAGAAGTATGTTTCTTTATGCACGTTACCTGACAGCTGTTGCACAAACAGGCATGAAAGAGCATGTTTGATTTGGTTTTTGTTTCTGTTCACTGATTATGCAAGACAAAAAAAAACAACACAATTGGCATAATTGCTTGATGAGTGCACTGAATTTACCAAATCTAATGTGATTAGAGTGATGTTACCCTTCCTAGAGAAAAGTCTCTCATCTCTTGTTTTCTCTGGTGAAGGGACCACTTCACTCCTTGCTATCTGACACCAGAGTTCAAAGACTGCAGATCAGGTTACTCCAACTGCAGGCCCTTCATTATTTAGACTGTCCTCTTTCTCCCCTCCACTCAGTCTTGATTTTACTTTGAAATTGTGCTTTGTTCAGAGTGCGTTCAGACTTACCTGCAAAAGAAACAAACAAAAAAAACAAGACCTTTCTGGGGTACTGCTCTCTAAACGCTGCCTGATTCATTGAGTTTTAAAGGTCAGAGATGAGGGTTGTGGAGCGGTAATACAAAAAATTTGACTCACCCCAGATGTTATGCATGTGACCAGATTAAGAATCTACGTGGAATTCTACAGTGCAATGCATTCAGAATTTTTGGTGTATGTTATGGTGTTAACGCTTGTCACGTGCATGCCTGGCCACAGATATACATGTAGAGAAACAAGTTTTCTGTACTCATTCATGTTGTGTACAACGAATCCTGGCTCTGCCATCTGAACGTCACAGCCGGGTGTGACAGAGTATTAAGGCCACATTAAGAAAAAAATATAATTTTGCTACGGCTGCTTTTTCTTTTTTTTTTTTCAACTTTATTCTCAAAATGCGGCACTAATACTCCTTTGTAGCAGGAACTCATCAGAACCAGGTAATATCTTCTGTTGTCCAATTTTGGTGAGCCTCTGTGAATTGTCACCTCAGCTTCCTGTTTGTAACTGATGGGAGTGGCACCCAGTGTGGTCTTCTGCTGCTGCTGCCCATCTGCTCTTCAGAAATGCTTATCTGCATTCCTTGGTTATAACGAATGGTTCTTACTATTGCCTTCTGCTCAAAGCTGACTGGCATAAACAGTATTTTTCCCCCACAGAGATGCCTGCTGGATATTACCTCTTTTTTGCGACATCTGCTGATGCTCTGTTGGAACTCCAGCATGTTGTCTTGACCATGTCTACATAACTAAATGCAGTGATTTGCCGAACTGTAATTGACTGATTAGATATTTGCGTTAACGAGCAGTTGAATCTGTGTACCCAATAAAGTCAGTCAGTTGTCTGTTGGGGTTTCATTCGTTTAAATACTCTGGTATTAAAATGGGCAACTTTATTGTCATAGATGCTTGGTGTTAGCCATTAACAAGGAAATAAAAGGAAAAAGAAATGCCACTAAAAAATAGCGTAACATGTTTAGATTTGCACAAACAGCATGGGTATTTAAGAAATCTTTTTTATTAAAAAAACTGTCACAGTTGCAGCCATACAAGGGGTCAGAATTGACAAGTACATCTTACAATGCATCATTATTGATCATAGAAGCAGTTACATAGCAGGAGTAGTAAGAAAAAGGACACAGGAAAGTACAGGACAGGGAATAATGCCTGTGTCTGTACATGTGGGATGAGTGTTATAGCTTACAGTACATTTAGTCGTATGTACAAACATGATGATCTACTGGCTGACGTAATATGTTTTAAAAAAGCAACACCTGACATCTGTACAGCGTGCAATAGCTGTGGGTGAGTGACTTCCATTACCAGTTATATGTGTGCTAACTCAAAATATAGCTGCTGTTAATGTGGTTCACATTAAATGAAATGAACCCCGGGCCACGTTTCACTTCCTCCTTCAGTATAAAATGTATTATTGCAACAACTCTTTGCTTTAAGGAAAATAAGATGTAATTTTCTTGAGAAGGACCCAGGGCAGTTTGTGTTCATTGCTTATAACTAGGAAATCTTTAAAAGAAAAGAAAAAGAAAAAGAAAAAAGGAAGAAGAGCTTTTTAAGCAATAATTTCCTCTGTCTTTACTCAGAAGAGTATTTCACATCTTAGAAACAAATGCTAAAAGTGGGTAACACCTCGCGGATTATGGGTATTTCAAGACAGTATTAATGGAACAAAGTCATATTTATTAGCAACGTAACTTAAATGTGATGGCCATTGCACATTTTACTGTCGTCTTTCCAAAAAGAACATGTTGGATGTGCCTTAGGTGACCATTGGTGTTCCCTGGAAAGCAGACACATATCTTATATATACACACACACACACTACAAACACACCTCTAAGGCACAGTTTTTTCAGCATTACTACCCTCAAACCCAGTACTGGCCCTCTTTTAGAGTTGGAGTCGGGGACCTAGATCTCACAGAGGTCCTGAATCCTGTAGTACGTGGAAGTGGATTGCTAGAAGTTTTATTATCTCTTTCATTACTGTTACAGCCTCTAATATTCCTATCACCACCAGCTAAATCAGCCTCAAATGGCCCCCAGAAGGTCATTCCAGGGGCTAGACTCCTCCGGGGACTTGTGGGCACCCTGGGAGAAGTTGGGCAGCTTGCAGAGCCGAGTGGGGTGACCATAACTGAGGGCATAGCCACACTCCGCTCTGGCCTGCCCAGATACGGGCTGTCCTCATTGGGAACCGGCACTGCAGCGAGTGCCTGGACAAGTCGAAGCCGAGCTTGTTTTTCCTTGCGATGGCGGAACACCAGGATCAAAACTATGAGTATTATAATGAGAAGCAAACAAGCTAGCAGCGGAAGGATAATGAGGAGGGGGTCCGACGCAGGACGAGGCAGAACCTCGACATGAATCAGCTGGGTGTCGGGAGGGTTCCCCGGACCGTGTTTCTCTGGGATGGAAGGAGTGTGGGGCTGGGGGGCATGGCTGTGACCTCCTCCTGCTCCCTCTACGCTGCTCTTTGACCTCCCTCCAGGACTACCATTCCGTGTGTGGTTCCCCAGTCGGTTATGAGGCCTCAACTTGTGGTGTGTCCTGTTGTGGTGCTTGTGTGACAAAATGTGGGGGTGCAAACCCACAGTGACCTCACCGTGTGCTGTAGAGCCTCCTCGTCCACCTTCCCGTCCTGCTCTTCCGGCAGTTGTCCTGTTGTGTGCTGGTAGACGGGCTGTTGTGTGTTCGCGACCTATCTTGTCTATTTTATTGAAACCACCAGGACCGTGGCGCATCTGGTGATGAGGTAAGATGGTGAAGTGAAGCTCGCCCTTTGCTGGCTGGACGTTTCCAGACCTCACCAGGAAGCTGAAAGAGTCATTAAGAGGCGTGGCGGGAGCGTGGACTTGAGCTGTTGTGAGCGTGGATTCATTATTGTGGAGCTGGTTGTCGCTGTCACTAAGATTCTCCTCGATGGCAACTCGGCCTTGCACCACATCTCTGAATGTGAATGACTTCAGGACCTCTGACGCTCTGTTAGGATCATATGTTATCTACACAAACACACACACGAAAACACATAGCAGAGGAGAAAGTCAACAGCAAACCAGTCAGACACGCGACATACTGTAGTTTTATGACATTGCAGCTGGAGAAAGGGACCGTCTAACCCCGACTCATTACAACAAATGGCTTTACCTTGACTAGTTTTCCATGTTTTGGTGGAGAGAGAACCTCAAAGACCGGGTTGGCTCGGCTGATTCTCGCCAGCTCTGAGGCATCAATCATGGCTTTTCCCAGTTTCACAGCGATACCACTGGGGACTCGAACTGGCTCTCTCAGGTAGATCAGAGGCCGCACGGTCACTTTCACCGTTGCTGTTACATTTCCATAATTAATGCCAGGTGACGAGGCTGACACTGACATTTGAAAGGTGTCCTCGGACTCGCTGAGATCAGTCATGTGATAGACGACGCGTCCAAACTGGAGGTCCTCGTGGCGGAATGTGGTGACCTCCTGGTCGTTAATAGCGATGCGTCCGTGGCGAGGGGGTGTGGTGACAGTGTAGGAGACAGTGGCCCGGCTCTGACCATTGGTTTGAGCTGCAAGCTGATTGGTTGTCAGGACCACCGCGGTCCGGCCTTGAATCAACGACAGGCCAGTGTTGTTCACAATGGACACCGAGGGCTTAATAACCTCCAAACTAAACAGCTTGTAGAGCGGACGGTGATGGCCGTCTGTTACGTTGAAGTAGAAAACTCCTGTTGAGGGGTCGCCCTAAGGGAGGAAACATTGAAAGGAAGAACAAAAGACACAACGCAGGAATTAGTAGTGGAAAAAACATAAACATGAACTTTATTCACTGCTTTGTTACCACAGAATAATGGCACCACTTAGCCAAAAATAAGGCATATTGAGCATTAACCATGTCCAGCACTTTTTAAATCTCTGCACAATCACAATTACAACAATGTAAGTCTGACGCTATTTTTTTTTTCCTAAATACATAACACTGACACATGTTTAGGCTTCACTGCTGCAGTAAACCTTCTTCACCTGCTGTATAAAATGCAGCCGGCCGTGGTTGACGTCGTACTGGGTGAATGAGGTCACCGGCTCCGGTCTTTCCCCCAGCGTCAGGTAGCCATTGTTGGGCTTACTTATCACGAGGTAGTGCAGCTCCTCTGGAGGAGTATCATGGTCCTCCACCTCGACATGGAAAAAGTGAAGGATTAAGAAATGATGTAAAAGTTTTGTAGACGTAAAAATAAATTGCAGCTCTACCTAAATTTATACTTGTCCTTTTTGCACTTACTCACCTGAAGACTGCTGGGTCCAAGTACGACTCTCTCCCCCACTACCACCTTCATACTGGGAGCCCTGCTTCTGATCAGTGGTGGCTGGTCATTGACTGGTGTTACTGTGATGTTGAACATCTCTGTCACCCCTGTGGTGTCTTTAACGTGATGATGAGAAACTGTGTCTAGTGATGAAAAGGGAGATGATGACGCAGAGTACAGAGAGGAAAAGGAGCTGGAAGAAGAGGAGGAGTCAGAGGAAAAAGCCGACAAGGATGATGAGGAGGAAGAAGAGGGGAGATCCAAAGGTGCCACCCAGGCCCGAAAAGTGAAGCTGTCACTTGTGGTCTCAGAGTCATCGTGGAAGTATGTGATGCCAAACTTGTTCAGGGTGACTTGTGAAAAATCTGGTTGGTTCCTGAGAAAAGACGATAACCCAAAAGCCATATTTGATACTTTTGTTCATATTTACATGGATGCATGTATTTATATATATAAATCAACACAAGAAGAGAATAATAAGTGGCGCTGAATGTTCTGCATTGTCTTTTAACTTGACAAGGCCGAGGCCTATTGACTTCTCCTAAGTGATCATGATTCACTATAAATTGTAATTTCTCTTTGCCAGCATAAAAAGGATTTGTTAGGCAGCAGTCACTGGACTCTGTGACAATGGAAAAATCCAAGGAACTCAATGAAGATCTAAGTAGAAGAACTGTAGCTTTACACAAGTTGGGAAGGTCACTTGCAAAAAAAACCCCCAAAGAAACAACAACAAAAAACCCACCTACAAGTTGCCAATGGAGAGACGCCAAACTGTGTTTCATTGTTCTGGTAAGAGTGACAATAAAGATCTATCTTATCTTATCTTGCAGCCATTTCTAAAAAACTTCAAAGTTCAAGATGATCAGTTCAAACAACTGTATGTAAGTATAAGTTCTTTGGATGTGTCACTACTTTGCCAAGGTCTGGATGAATACCCAAACTGTCACCCTCAAATGAGAGGTAATTGGTTAAAATGTTCAGGAACCACCAAGACTCAAGCCTGACATGAATGGAAACTGCTGAATGCCGACGTCGCTGCCCACAATGAGACAGTTTGGACTAAGAAGGTGTAGAGCAAGAAAGAAGCCCCTGCTCAAAAATCAACACCTTCAAGTTCAACTAACATTTGCATCTGTTCACATGGACATGCCAAATGGCTTCTGGTAAAAGGTTTTATGGTTAAATGAGACAAAGACTGAGCTATTTGTCCAAGAGCTATGTGTGGAAGAGTAAAGGCTGGGCTTTGAAACCTATGATTATGGTATTATCAAGCATGGTAGCAGTAGCGTCACACTGCCAGTGGCAATGATATAATTGGACAAAGAGGATGGCATGATGAAGGAGGAACACCTACAAAGTATTCAAGTTCACCTCAAATCAATAGCTAGGGAGCTAAAACCTGGACATGATTGGGTGGTTCTAACACGACAAATACACAAATACAGGATCCCAAACACCTCAAAACTGGTTTTAAAATTGATAAAGCAGGCTAACATTAAGGTTCTGGAATGACCTTCTCAAAGCCCCGACATCAACCCGATTAAAATTTGTGGAAACCAAGGAATTTGAATGAACTCTACCAACTCTACCAAGAGGAGTGGTCAGATATTCAGTCAGAATTATACCAGAAGCTTGCTGATGGCTACCAGAAGCATCTGGCTGAGGTATAAAGGACATTTAACCCAATACAGGGGTGTATGTTCATGTTTAAGAGTATACATTTGACCCCATGTGGATTAGAGAAAATCCAAAATGATTTCAAATTAAAATTTTATGGCCATGATATAGTATATGTAAACAAATCCCAGCTGTATAATGATATATATCTTTTATTGAATATATATATATTTACTTTTGCTCTGTATATGGTATTACATTCCTTTGATTTTAATTTTGTTTTTCACTTCATTTCATGACAAATAAGAGCAGCTATGTACCTGGTGAGATTGTGTCCTCGAATAGACAAAATCCCATAGCGAGGCAAAGAAATCACACGATACATGATGTGGTGGTCTTTCCGATGAGACTCTGGGATTTTTCCCAGGAGATTAGAGGCATCAAGCTTGGACCTGTCTATTGTCACCCTGCCTCCTTCAGCCACCACAGCACCTGAGTGATAAATACAGACATAAATGTAGTCACCCTTATATTATATTCTTCTTGCCACATGATATTTATTAGTTTGAAACATAGATAGTACCTGCATTGTTTATTAGTCTGGTCTTGTGCTGAGAGCTGTCATGATGTTCATTGGCTTGGTAGGAGATCAAGATGGTGAAGGTGTGTGGAGGAAGAGAAGCAGGAGGCAAAGACGCCGTGAAAGAAAAAGTGTCTGCAGCTGACCATCCCACTGACTCTGGCTTGTTCTGATCATACAGGATAACGCCATCATCCAACTAAGAGAGCCAAATAAATGAGGAGGGAAAAGAGAATTTCTTTCAGAAGTCAGTCCTCTTAGAAAAAGCGAAAACTGACACATGGAGACACACACATCCCTACCATGCTCTGTGTAAAGGTGGAAACATTTCTTGTGGAGTTGTCCGGCATACGTCGGACCAGGCGGCCGAGTTTAGGAGGAGAGGTCACTGCAAAGACCACGGACTGGTTCCTCCTGATGTTGCCGTCAGCAATGTTAGTAACCGCCTGAAGCTCCTTGTCTGAGATTGGTGTCACAGAGCCTTCAGGATAAACAAAAAAAGTAATGCTAAGGAGGGAATCTACCGAGTTTAATGTATTAGTAGCAGGTGACGCCATGCGTCAACAATGCCAGAGTGTTTGGCCTTAACGTGACCAACATCTGCTGCTTTGCTGTACATTTCACTCAGGAGTAGTCTACACCTAATATGGGCCAGATGTCATGTGTGTTGTGGCATGAGCCCACACAATAACCCACGCCAAGCCCACCCCACACCTTTGTAGGGCGTGTTTAGTCTACAGACATCCTGTCACTGAGTCAAAGTGCCAAATGCAGCCGAGGTTCAAATATATTTGTCACCTGAGATCGAACATAACATTGTAAAACAAATATATCAAACAAAAATTTCATACTCGAATGTCTAACTGTGCTCATTCGTTCCTTTGACTGTCCATTGATTGTCAGCGGAAAAGTTGTAGCTAAGTAGTTCATATTGTTCTTAAAATAGCAACATAACCAAAAGAGAGATCAGGAGGAGATGTTTTACTTTTTCTTGAGCCACAAATTCTCTTTCCCCCCCAATAGTGCCACATTAGATCAAGTTCTTGCAGTTTTAACTGATGTGCTAGAAGCACTGTAACCGTTTAGCCTTTAACAGTAAATCTATATTCCCAGTTTCAACACCAATTTTCTCAACACGTTTTTTATAAACTGTTTTTTACTTGACTGCAAAATGTTGTAATTTTTCTCATCAAAGCAAGTAAAATAGTTGTGTGTGGTTATATATAAGAATAAATGCTGTACATATGAGTAGGTGTCACTGTACGCATGTGCTTTATAGGTTTTGGTGTGAACATAAGGCACTGTGGTTTAGAGTAGCGAGGCCACCCAGCGGATTGCAGTGTATTACATCAGCGTGTCACTGTTGTGCCTTCAGAGCGGCCTTGATTCTTTGTGACACAGATTCACCACAGTGCTAGAAACATTTCTTAGAGATTTTTTTCTGAAAGTCCCGTTCCACCACATCTCAGAGGTGTTCTGCTGGATTGAGATGTGGTGACTGTGGAGTACAGAGGCCCTTCAGAGGGTCTTTTTAACTTCAGGTCAAGATGTGACTTCAAAACCATCAGTCACTTTATTTATTTATCTAGTCATTTACTGATTTATTGAAGCTGGAAGAGCAGGTATACCTGGGTAGACTTCCATCGGGTGGTTTCTCTGCAGGGTGAGGATCAGAGAATGAGCAGTTGTGCTAAAGATCTGACGAGGAGCAAAGTTGAGGCCGTCATTCACTTGGAAATGAAAGCCACCTGATGGCGCCCCTGCAGACAGACAGAAACATGTGGTCTACTCCTCTGCTGAATCAAAGGTCTTTTTAGAAAACAGAAACACATGCTTACCATTGTGCACAAACACCAGCTGCTTGCTTTCTATGTGACTTTGAGTGAAGTTCAGAATGTGTCTGGAGGGGGCGCTCTTCAAAGCCAAGTGGCCATTACTGGGTGGTGTCACTATGAACTCCAGCCCCTCAGGTGGAGTGTCAGTGTCCTCCGCACTGAGATCGCCTGTGGTTATCTCTGTAACAGAACCCACCCACACCTGAAGAGCAGAAAGGAAGCACGACAAGTCAGCTTGGCTCAGCATGACTATAAAGAGATATAGATATATAGTTACATAGATACATTTTGTTTGTTTTAATATGCACTAATAAAAAAGCTCTTTCATGACTTTTTGATTTAAGTGTGTCTTTGAAATAATTTTAGCTGAAAATAATAATCGTGTTGACTCTTCTTATCAGTGTGTGGGCTTTTCCCACCTTCAGTCCGTGGTTGGTTGTAATCACTGGGGTCTCATCATTGACAGGTGTGATGTTGATGTGAACGGCGCACGGCAGGCTGTGTTTCCTGGTTTCCGTCTGGTTTGCCACAATGGTGAAGTTGTCTCTCAGGGTGTCACTGCCGTCGTGGATGTAGGAAATGTACTCCCGTTCCACCTAAAAACAGATGTTGTGTGGAAAATGGAACAAACGAATCCAATGAAATGATAGCTCACATCATAGTATGAAGCATTTTATCACAAAGATGAGCGCTACATTTAATTTAAGAAAAAATCTGCCAGGTATTGTTGTAGGGTGATTGTGCTCAAGGTCAGCAGGTCAACGGAAAGTGTATCTTTTGTATATTTCATGTTAGATTATATTTGCAATATACATGACCTGATCAGGGATGTTTGACCTGAGTATCAGCCATGAAAATTTTACAAGTTTTGTGAACAGGTAGAACATGGGTATAAGAAGAAAACATCTATTTTTTTCCACTTATCCAATACAACGTCATGGTTGGAATAGAGCCAATCAATGCGACCATAGGGCAAGAGACGCAGGATAACCACTCGCACCTACAGCCAATGTAAAATCACTATATGCATGTCTTCGGACTGTGAGAGAGTATGAGAGGACTCAGACAAACATAAAGGTCTCACTGGCTAGTGGACAAACCCAGGATGTTCATGCTGTCAGGCAATGGTGCCAACCACTGCAGCACCATGTCACCCATGAGATGAACCCATTAAATGACCAACTGTTCCTGTGTCCTAGTTTACTCCATTTGTGAGAAATTATTTAAAAAAAAAGAGCCTATTAAATGTTTTCAAAATTGTAACACATGGTTGTGTTGATTGCCCTTCTAGTAAAAAAAGGGTCTTTTCCTGCTTTTTGATGCCTCTGAGATGAACACATGGAGTCTTTCAGTCTTTAAGAGCTACGTGTGTAATCAAACTTGGTTTTTGAGTGGGTTCGGTCAAACCTCAGTGTGTGTGAAAGCTGTGATAGGCATCCCTGGAATGCGGCTGTGCTCCAAATGTCCATGTCGTGGTGGATTGATGACCTGATACAGGAAGTTCATCCCAGAGAAGTGATGGCTGGCGACTTTAATGATGTCAGAGGTCAGCGGCATAGAAGACCCCTCATCTAGAGTCAAGTCGGACACCTAAACAAAAAATGTGTAGAAGAAAGTAGTGACTGACTGCTTTCTGGTTTGGTAAATTGACCTCCGTTTGACCTTTTTACCTGCAGAGGAAGCAGGATTGGGATGATATCAATCTCCAGCCTGATAGGTCCAACCTTTGTCACCCCATTGGTTGCTTCCAACAGAACAGAATCATTGGTGCTTCCTGTGGTCTGCTGTTGATAGATGACCAAGCCCTGGTTCAAGTCCTCCTGGGTGAATGTGGGTGTTGACTGCTTTTTGATACCCTGCATGGAGGGAGAGAGTGAACAGACCCCTTGACTGCAGCCTCATTGTGAGGCCGAAATATCACAAATCACCTACTGATTAGAAGGTTGGTTCGATCACTGGCTCCCCCAGCCTGCATGCCAAGTATCCTTGGGCAAGATACTAACCCCAAGTTGCTCTCCGATGCGTCCATCAGAGTGTAAATGTGTGTGAATGTTGTTAGAAAAAGCACTCCGTTTAGAGTCAGAGCATGGGAGAATGGGTGTGATTGGGTGAATGTGGCATGTTATATAGAGCGCTTTGAGTACTGCGGGAGAGTAGAAAAGCACTATATAAGAATCAGTCCATTTACCAAACACTAAGTGACAGGAAATGAGACAAGGGAATAGACAAGGGCATTTGTAACCCTTTCCAGACTAACAGTTGTCAGTTTCTCAGCTGTACTTGAGCTCCTTTAGATTGTGCCATGATGTTGCTTTTTGAGATCTCTTAGCCTACTTTATCAGACAGTTTCCATTTAAATGCCTCTTATGGAGGTACCTACTTTATAGTGCTGTCCTCCATTCATGCGTTGATGCTTGTTGTCAGTGGACAACCTCTGAATGATGCCAACTGTGGGAAGACTGTGCACAGTAAAAACTATCTCTGAGGGCTGACTGTCTTCATGGACCACCTGGTTAAAAAAAGAAAATCACAAAAGTGATGCTGAATATGAAACTAAACATATTTTATAATCAGAGAATTTACCTGCATATGTGAGGATCTTGGTTTTGCTTACCTCTAAGTTGTCCCTGCTTATAGAGATATTCTGTCCCTCTTCCACCACCACTGGCCGGTTGTTTCTGACTGTTGGTGGCCTCTGATGACTCTCCAGGTAAATCTTTACCGAAACTCCAAAGTCTAGATATACCTCCCTCTTCCCTCTTTCCACCTGCCTCTCTGTGCTCCGTTCTCTAGCTCTTGCTGTCACATTAAAGCTATCCGACAACTTGTGACTGCCATCATGGCGATATACCAGGCGCCCTGCTATCAAGTCTCGCTGGGTGAATATTGAAATTGCATCTGCGTCTGTTATAATCCCACTCTCTCTGTCAATAAAGCAGATCACGCCATGTTTAGGTGGGATGAAGACCTCAAACGTCACTTCGTGTGGGTCTCTGATGTCAAGGTTGCTGAAGACACTGAGGTTAGCAGAGGTCAGGGTCGTGATCCCACCCTGCTCGACCATGATGCCTGTGTTGTTCTCCACCTGCAGGTAAGGATCCTGCGCCATCACCTGCACCCCACAGCAAAAAGAAGACCAATCATGCTAACATGAACTTCATTATTTTCACACTAAAGTGTCTTCTCAAGTAAACGGTATGAATAGAAATGAAATAAATCACATCACATAGGAATTTATAGTGAGTGCCTAATCTGAATCTTTGCCAGATTTCTACTGCTTGGTTTACTCAGCTTTTTTATATTTGTGCCAGTCATGGGCCTAATGGTTCAATCACAGTGAATCACATGACTCGGAAAAAATCAATAGTTGCCCGAATCAATAGTTCAGATTGCAAGTAAGCAACTGGTTTCCCAGAGGAAGTGCCTTTGTAATTTTGCAGTTAAAAATAATTTCTGTTTAATGTAGATTTCTGTGCTTGCGAACAGAAACAGATTTGAAAATAGATTGTGTGCAATTGCCAAATTGAAACCAATTGTCAGAGATTTACAGTTAACAAACAGTCAGGTGAATAAACAACAATGAGACACTTGTGTAGGTTAACGTGCTGCACGGGTGAAAAGCTCAGAGCAAATCACACCGAACTGAAGTATTCGTTTATTTTTATAGGTTACATCGTCAATATGCAAATATAATCACATTTCCTGTTACGCAGGTCCTGATGTCTGTCTGCATGCAAGCTGTGTGTGTGTGTGTCACAGAGTATGTGTGTTGCAGGTCAATTTCTAAGAATAATATAATGCAAGTCAACTTCTGCGGGTCAGCGTCACAGGGTCAGCTTCCTGTTTCAACAGAAAGCTGTGTCTGGAAATATGTATAACATAACATTTGAAGCATAATCAATTAAAACAATAAAAATTCCTTAACACCAATCAATTATAAACTGCTGGCAGACTGACTCAGTGTTATTGATGTTTTATCCCTGTCACTGTTGAAGTCAGCAACTGACTGCCAGTCACCGCAGACTTGGTCCTTGTCTTCAACACAACGATTTAATGGCAACAAGATCACATTGCACATGCTCGTAATAACTTTGTGGGCAACCAAGTTTCCTCAGCGTGACTGCAACATTACCCTTCCTGTCATTGTTATTAAACCAAAAAAACAAAACAAAAAAGAGAATAATCACCTCCAACAGCGTTGAAACATAATGCTTCCCATCAGATACGAAAAGCACAAAACGCCCAAAACTCACTCCTTTGTGGACAAACAGCACCTTTTTCTGAGATGAGAAAAAGCAGGAGGCCATCATGACCAACGATAAAAAAAAAAGCATTAGCAGGCTTTATAAAAAATATACAAACTATAAAAGATACCATTATTGCTCTTACCTGTTCGAGGTCTCGCTGTGTGAACTCATACAACTTGTGGCTAGGATCACTGGCCAGCACCAACTCTCCCATGGGGATCCCCCTCCGTGTGTACACCAACCAGCTGTCCTCGAAATCTGAGTCATCATCACGATAACGCAGGTCACTCAGCGTCACCAATCTCTGGCCCTCCCGTGCAACGTGGAAAACTTTATCCACAACCCTGACGGGCCTCTGATCATTGACGAGCTGCACTGAGATGTTAAAGGTGTGCTGTTCTCCATTTCCGTCCTCTTTCTTGTTCGTGTGTTTGTGAGCTTTGTAAACCACTATCTGAAATGTGAAAGAATCCTGCTTAGTTTCGCTGTCGTCGTGAACGTACATGATCCTTTCCTCAGTTATATCCTGATTCGTGAACGCCATAATGTTGTCGTTAATTGAAGTTGAGTTGGAGAGGTTGATCCGCCTTATGTGCCCATGCCTGGGGCTCTCTATAATGTTGTAGAGGACCTCCCGGTTACTCGCTGTGTGAGTGAACAGAATATCTCTGGTGATTACTTTACTCCCTCCTTCCATGACTGAGAGACCTTTGCTTATCATAGTGACGGTGGTCGACTCGGCTTTGATGTTGATTCTGAAGTCGTAAGTTGTTGAGTTGGAGTGAGCTGAAAACACCTGGAAGCTGAACGTGTCTCTCGTGTCGTCATGTTGCCGGTTGATTAGCTCGTACCTTACCAAACCATCACTGATGTTCCTCTGGCTGAAGGTTGAGTTCCTTTGTAGGGCCTTGTTGTTGAGGAGAAGCTGACCTTTCTTGGGTACCGTTACCATCCTGAAATGGAGGTCACTCTCACTGAGCTTAACACCCTTAGAAATCACATGGAGGTCCTCGGGAGTGAGAACAGCAGCCTGAACGCCATTGAGCTCCATCTTACTCCGTGTGATCTTGAAGTGAATCCATCGTACCGCGATGGGGAAAACAGCCTCTTGTTTAGCCAGGGAACCGATACTGACTTTAAATTTAAAGTGGTCTGTGATGTTATTCTGCATCTGTAAGCCACGGTAGGTGCTGAGGTATCGAATCCGTTCTTTTTCCAGAAGTTTCTGGGAGAAAGAGGTCGCTGGCTTCCATTCGCCGCTTGAGTGTAACCTCTGGAGCTCGCCATATTGTGGGAACTCTGTAACATTATACCAGATTTCTACTGTGGGGTCAGCCACATTAACTTGTACTGCAAGGTGATTGGTGGTGATGACTGAAGCTTCGCCTTGGTTCACCTCCAGTCCGGTATTGTTCACCAGTTTATCTTCGAGTGGCACGGTTATTATCCTCAAAACTACTGTGTTGCTTACCTGACAAAGGGAGAGGGAAGAGGCAAAATACCATCTGAGAGGATAAGACATAAGATGAGAAAAAAAGACAAGCTGCTATTTTACTCACCTTCTGCCCGTCACTAACCCTAAGAGCCAGCCTAGAAGTTGAGACCCCTGTGTGGATAAAGCTGATCTTACCCTCCTCTAGATCGTTTAGGGAGAACAAGTTGATGGGCCTGGAAGATAAGAAGGTGAAAACCTTGGAGGTCAAAGCAAACAACAAAAAATGTTTTAGTTAAAAGTTGTAGTAAGATAAAAACTACGGGAAAAAATTAGAATAATACTGCTTACTAACTCAAATGACTTCGTCCAAGACAAGTGGATGAAACAAATTGGTTCAATTCGTTTTTGTCACTTGGTGCAATGTCTGTGAAAAAATCCTACCAACAAACACTTTACCAGATGAAGGGCTTGGCCCAGCTTTGAAGAAATACTCTCCACATCTGGGCTCAGGAAGTTTTGGAAGGACTCTTTAACACAAAATCCCATCATCAGAAAAACAAAATTTGGGAGACATGTTCTCAATAATCAGCACTGATATAATTTTAGTTTTGCCAGTTTGGTCAAATTTGTCAAGACACAAGAGAGAGTGCAAATGCAAGATGTGACTGAAGGGCAGGCTTTCAGCCTTAATGCAAGGGGTAACACAAAAGTATTACATTAACTGTTTAGGAATGACTTAAATGTTTATGTAATGCTGCAAAATATACTGATGTATAAAGTGACCACACTAATTATACACAAACAACCACTTCCACAAAAGAGCTCAGTATCTGGATCTAAAAAGATTTGCAATGCCCCATTAAAGCTTTATAAGCCGTAACACCAACCTGCCAGGGTAATCCTGATGCTCAAGGTATCCAGCCTCAGTGTTGAGGTTTCCCAGGGAGCTGAAAACAAGCTCCTCAGGACTGCTGTCAGGGTCTAGCGCTCTCAACACATCTGTAGTCAGCTGGGGGAATTGTGAATGCATTAATTTTGATCTTTTTTCACGTATAATTACTCAGACATTTTGCTGTACCTACCTGTCGTCTGGACTTCTCGAGTAGAGTAAAATAGTTTCCCTCTGGCAGGCTGAGCACAGGGGCATCGTTCACAGCACTGATGCTAATTTCGAACTGGTGCAGACGGTTGCCCTTGAGAAACACAGGAAGCTCCTTCTTATTGCTGGAGAAGACTGAAAATGTGAAGAAGTCACTCTGGTCCTCTGAGCCGCTGTGAACGTACATCACCCTGCCCTGCCAGAGGTCCAGCATACTGAACGTCCGGTCCTTCTCCTCAATTCCTATCGTGATGGTCCTCTCCTGGCCCTCGTCCAAAGTCCTGTCGGGGTCTGGACTCAGGTCCAACCGGAGCTGGCCATGAACAGGCTGTTCCTCAACGCGGAACATAAACTGGGATGGATGAATGCCCAGTTTACGGAAGTCCAAATTCACCTGGCAAAGAGTCCAAAGAGAATTATATATCGGTGCTGCTTATTTTTATTTTCACAATTACTTAAAGAACACTAAACTCAAAAGACAGATCAGCACTACCTTTATGTGTTTTGGTTCAAGAGGTGCCCGGCCTCCCTCAGATACTTCTAGTTTCCTCAGCATCAGGAAGTTAGGGCTCCTCTTCGCGTTAGTCTGTGCAGTTGTGATATCAACCCCAGGAAGATCTGTTGGGCTGGTGAGACTTGCTCTCTGTGGAGCCTGCCCTGTCCTACAGCCCACAGTGACATCCTTGGTGACTGTGGCATGAGGTAGGCCTGTTTTTTGAGTGTTCACCCTGATTTCACTGAGGCAGCCTTTAAAGGAGCCTCCTCCTTCTCCTCCAGATGGAACAGAAATCAATCCAGCTCGCCTTGCTTGTCCCCGAGCTGCTTCATCCAGCCCTCCTACGAAGAGAGGCCCCGTAAGCTGGAGGACCTGAATCTCTGGGCTCAGACTGGCCTTCACCAGCTCTTTGCCTACCTTCAGCTGAACACTGTGAGGCAACAAGTGAAGCTGGATGGTGTACCAGGTGTGGTTGCTGTTTACATTTGTTAAAGAATGCAGCTCGGTTTTACTCCCCTCTCCACCTCCTACCGAAGCTACCAGATGACCACGTACGATCTCAATGGCAACAAACCCTCCCTGATTGTCAGAGCTATAAAGGACAATGCCGTCTTCTTCTTCTTTTGCAGCAGGATGTAGTTCACATTCAAACACTCCCTCTTGAAGCACATCCCACGGTGGGAGTGACATGAACGCTTCTGAGCTGAAAAAACTGACAGAATCTTCTTCTGTTGCAGAAAACTGTGGACTACAGCCCAGAGATACCTCATGGACGGTCTTGTACCCAGAATGTGGCCTGAGACTGGACAGTAAGTCATGTTGATTGAAGACGACTTCGTCCATGCAACCTCTAAACCCAGAGGAGATGTTGTGAAGATAGAGATGATTTAATCCAGCTGTCCCGCCAACAAGGAGTCCATCCTCCACACCGAGCTCCAGATCTGGTCCCTGTATTTGTAGGCCGGTGTGGGAGTTCTGGTCCACAGTCATAGTGATATTATGGCGGGTGTGGGTGAGATCCACAGTGTGCCACGCCAGGTCACTGAGATGGATGCCCTTTTCTGAGCGCAACGAATGCTCACCTGAGCCCAGATCAAGACGCACCTGAGGATTAAGGGGGAAGGTGAAAAAGGAAAAAGTTCATAAACTCATAAAAGTTGCAAGGAAAGCCGAAATATCACACATCACATGTTAAATATGTGTGTACATAAAAAACAAAATGAAGAAAATGAAGGCTTTTCCACAAATAGAAATGCAACTGAGATCTCTCTGACAGCACCAGTGACTTGTACTTGGTATTTTTATTAAGCTATTGTGGTTTTCTGTCTTAACCTCACTCGTGTATGAACTTGTCTGGAATTAAAGCAGTGCC